AACCAATGCTATGCTTTTGACTGACACACTATTTCAAGTTGATGATACCTATAATATCAACTCAACAATGCATGTTCTACAACTACATCTACTGCTACCAGTACGACTACTACAGTGCATGCATTTAGTTCAGTCCCACAGATACATACACTCTAAGAACAGGCAAGGGGAGATGTGAAATGTTTTACGGTACGACAGGTGTTTTGTTTTTTTAAGTAGGGGAAATTAATAAAAACATAAAAAGAAAAAGTGTACAAAAAAAAAGAGACATTTCTCAAGAGTTGATATGAGTTGTTTCTTGAACCGTTTCATCTGAACAAGCAAAAAACATGCAACCAGCTGCTACTAACAAGAAGCTGGACACTGAGAGAGGATTAATAGGTGTGGACAAACCTTCCCGCTGAGCGCGCTCAGAAGAGTGTTTGAGAGGAGGTGTGCACGTCCGAGTGTAAGAGAGGCCGGAAAGAATGCCTCAGAGACACCCTCTCTCACAGCAGCCCCAACCAAGCAAGAGAGAAAACAACAAAAACATAACTGCTCACACTCACCATCAAGGTCAGTAGCTCACGTTACTAGATTTGTTATAGCTGGCAAGTATAAAGTACAGTAAGGGGTTGTTGGGGGCTCAGGGATCAAAGGCAGCATTTGCAGTTGGAAACTGGCAAGGTGTTAAGGGCAGGGGGAGGGAGGGAAAGAGGTATATACCCTTAGCTCCAAACCACAAGAGAGTCCTGAGCCTTCCCTGCTTTATACCTCGTCATCATTTATACTGGGCAGAGTGGGGGTAAAATGTTGCCCTTCTGATTTGCTAATGTTTGTGCCCCCCCTTTGAATGACTGCCCAAGGTGTCAAGCAGTGAAGAATCAGGCTTGTCGCATTATTATTTTATTCTCCACTCATCAGGGAGGAATAGTTAACGCTAACAAGCTGGGGAGCACACTAAGACTATGGGGCGGGGGGGAACCCAACAACTTTCTGCCGAATTTAATTTGTTTATTTTTTTTTTCTTCCAAATTAATTCCTACCCTCCCAAGTGTAAGATAAAAATGTTTCCCCCTCTCTGTTTTCCTTTTTTTAAACAGCACTTACAAGACAAAAATGATTATGTTCAAAATATGCCAGGTGAAATTAAAAGAAACGTGACACTGATAGTGAAATTGTCTAGGAGGAGTTTGCAGCATTCAGACTTTCAAGCTTGCTAATTTTACATGGCCCAGGTCCCAATTCATTAAAAAAAAATACAAGGAGGGATGAGTTTATCAAAGCCAACTAGAGGATTTAGCCACACAGCTCCCACGGAAGTGAATGGGAACTGTATGGCTAAATCTAAGTCAGTTTAGAAAAATGTCACCCATTGCGTCTACATGGACGTGTTGGTTTGGTGCGTGATTTATAAAGGGAAGCACCAAAGCATAAACCTCCCAGTCTGGGAGAAGAGTTTAGCAAGTGAGAATGACACTGAACACGAGGACAGGGAAATGTCCCTTTCTACTGATCACAGGAGTTACTGTTGCAATTGGTACCAGACCTTATTCCATCTAATAATAGTAATTGGTGATTGTATTCCCACAAGCAGAAATATAACAAAACAAAACAAAAGGAAGAAAGAAAGAGGGAGAGAAGGAAACAGAAGCCCACAATGTGCAGAATCACAAAAATGATTACTGACCAAAAGGTTCATGACATTAAGACAGCTGACATGCAAGTTAACTGCACCCCAGGCTGAAATAATCTAGGCATATTCTTTTGATGATTATTAAGCAAACATGCAAATTTTCCACAGTACACGTAAGAACAGCATCTTAGGTTACACAGCGGTCATTGATGCCCAGACAACACGGTGATGGGGCTTTAGAAATGCATTAGACAAAGTCTTGCCTGGAAGTGTGCATGCATTTTGGGTGCTGAACAGATCTTAGTTTTCTTATGGTCCATATTTTTGAAAGAGCTCAACTCCCTAAATAAAGTGGCCAGGCTTTTACTGGGAATCTGGGAGCTGCTGAGCGCCAAACACTTCTGAAAATCTTGCCACTTTGTTTAGGTGTCTGAATGGGAGCTGTCGGTGCGGAGATCTTCGCAAAAATCTGGCACTAGAAATGTTCCAAGATTCATGTCCAAAAAGGCAGCTATATAAAAAATGCATTGAAGTGAACACGAAAGTTTTGGGAGTGCACTTAAGCTCTGATCCCGCAAACATTTATGCATTTGCTTAGCTTTACTACTGTAAAGAGCCCCCTTGAAATGAATGAAACTACTCATGGGAATAAAGTTAAGCACGTGCTTAAGTGTTTGCAGGATCAGGGCCTGAATTTTCAAATGAATTGGCACAAGTGGAAAGTGGAGCTCTGATTTATTCACAGAGAAGGTATAGCGTAGCAGCACAAATGGAACCGCCCCAGTAAGGTGCTGTGGAATAGAGTGTGTGTGTGGGGGGGGTGTTTCTGTTGCCCATTCGTTCTCTGGTGACTTTACCCAGACTGACAACAAAAGGAAGCCAATGAGTGCCAGTCATGCTGCATTCTGCATTTTCTGCATTCTGCATTAATCATAAAAGCATACGAGGGGATTGTGCACAATTGCAAAAACATTTTTCTTGTAATGAATCGGGCCCATACACTGTAAGATGAGATTTATCATACTCCATTGCTCCTGAATACAATTCACTACCATTGCTGTATGAAAGTGACAAGCCCAAGATGCCCTGTTCAACAACTCTCTTTAGATGGAAATGACTGCAAATAAAACACCATCGTTCCATAGAACACATTTCACTACAAATGTAAACAGCCTCTAGTTTAAGAAGTTTGACAATCTCTTTCTTCCTCCTTGAGATTACGGGTGAGGTTGGTGAGTTTTGTTTTTGTTTGTTTGTTTTGGGGCACGCATACAATTTTGAGACTTGAAAGGCATTTCCAAACTCCATACTGCTCTTTAAACTTGCCAGGAAGGGTGGTGTTAATTTAGGGTTAGATTTAGTTTCGTATTGCACTTTCAAATAAAAATAATAATAATAATAATAATAAAAAAAACCACACTAAAAAACCCAAAATGATTACAGGCACAGAATTGATTGATGCTCAGTTCAATTGTAAAGGGGAACCAAAAGCACTCTGATTAAAAAAATAATAATAATGGAAGCAACGTTAATCTAGCCAAACCCTCTGCGCCTTGCTAAGGGGCAACTCACCAGGTCTGTTAGTACTTAAAACCTAAAGGGCAAAACACGAGGAAGAGACAGTGACAATTAAGTCAATTTTCCTCAATTAATACGTGAAATCAATGTTTCTTCTCTTTAAAGAAAGGGGGGAGGGAGAAAGAAAGAGAAGGAAAAATATTCCCACAGCTGTCTGGCAAGTCACCCCTTAGGCTTTCTCCACATGCCACAAAATAAAACTGGTACAGATGATCCTTTGTAGCCCCGCAAGCAGTGCCAGTTTGCATGGAACGGAGTTCTCCTGACATCTTACTTTGGACTCCACAGAATTAGGGTCTCACTCAATGCATATTTGGGTGTTAGTGCTCAATAGCCTTTTTTTTTTTTTTTTTAAGAGCCTAGCTAGCCAGCGTAGAAGTTCCATACAGGTCACTGAAAACCTCTACTCTAGGATCAAATCGTGAGTAAGCTGGAAACATTATTTGCTGCGTGTCTTATGTGTACAATGTTGAGCAAAACCACACTGAAGCGGTTGGGGAGTTGAATGCCAGGTAGCAAAAACGTTTTTTCAAAACTCCCTCCCTCCCTAGATGTCCCTTCATCATTAGCAAGAACAAATGGTAAGATGAATGCACGGGATGATACATAAATGTTGAATGTACATGTGAGAGCAGGTAAATCTACTGAGAAGGCATCGCTCTACCCTTTGTTCTTGCTCAGGGTTTATTGTTTTGAGTCACCACTGTACAATCAAGACACAGCATAGTATGCAGACACAGAACAGGGTGTGCTGGTAAGTTAACAGCCCACTCATGACTGTACTGAACATTTAATTACTTAAGCAAAGCGCTAATTCACATGTTTCCCTACATTGAAATTCTAGGGTAATAACTGTAATTGGTAACAATTTATTTATTTCCCTTAAGGGGGGAAAAATAAGCATTTGGAGGGACAGAGAGAAAAGCTTTAACATTTCTCGTGAAGCTTAGGCCGCAGTTTGCAGTAAGTAACAAGAGCAGTAGTCTGAGAAACAAAAACTAAGCTTTAAATGGCAGGCAAATTAAAAAACATACTTTGGAAACCAACAATACAATACATGTGCTTTCAGCAGGGCCACTTTGACTTGGCTCCAGGTAACGTTTATTGATTGCCTGTACTTCAGGCAGCATTTACAGCTGTACCACCCCAATTAGAGTTCAAAGGAAAGCGGATCTTGAGTGCACATATGAACATTTTAGGATCTCTTCTAATATACTGTAGCAGATGTGATGCTTTTGTCTCCAGATTAACAGGAAGCTCTGCTCTAGTAAATTACCATCCTGGTAACCAGCTAGTTCCAGGGGAAAGAATACTATTTTGTTGGGAGGTGAGGCCAAGAAAGGTATTTTTAAAAAAAAAATCCATAGTACAACTTGCCATGATGTCTTACTGGGGGCAATCGTTCAAGCCACAAATCTGGGTGGTGTGGTTTGATCTCGCAGCCACTGGAGCATTCACTGCAGAGAGCAAATGCTGCATTGTTAACCCAGTGCAAACTTCACATGAGAAATGAAAACTTTTTTTTTTGTCCTTTAGGAGCTTTAATTTAAAATAAATAAATGAACAATACCAACGCCGCCGCCCCCACCCTGGGTTTGACAGTTCTTATGTAAACCTCCTGTAAGGTGCTCCAGGCCTCATGGCCTCCACTTGTAGTGTGAGTTTTTTTCAGGTCCCCAGGATAAGTGTGAGGAAAATCAGAGTAATGATGGACAGCTGCAGCCACATAGAATACCGACAGAGCTTTTACCTTCCCCTGCATTCTGAGGGTATGCCATGTAGCCGCCTCTTCCACCGGCCCCCCTACCTGATCCTCTTGCTGCTGCCACCGCTGCTGCTGCTACTGGTCCATAGGCCGCTGCCGGAAAACCTAGCCATGGAAAGAAGGAGAAGGGTAAAGGGAAAAATCCAATGAACAGCAGGTGTAACCAAACAAAAAGAAAAGGGGGGGAGGGCAAAATACTATAGTACTTTTGGGGGCAACTATGGTGAATTATGGTCCTGTTTTCAAAAGGGGTTGGTGATTTGGGGGTCTGACGTGAGGAACCTTAAAAGAGCCTGATTTACTGACAGAGCTGAGCCTCTGAAAATCAGGTCCCTTTATGGTGTGCCTATTTGGGCCTGCAAAATGGAAGCACCTGTGGCCTTCTTTTGAAAATCCTGCCCTAAATCCTCTGCAATGAATTTCAATGGCTGCATGCTCTGATGATGCCTTTTTATCCTGTGCATAGGTCTTCTGAGCCACTGCGAGTTTTAAAGGCAAGATAGTGGAGTGAATTAATTCACAGAGACAGCTTGTAGGATGTGGTTTATATCTTCTTGCTTTCAAACTGTTAGGGCTCAGATCAGTTTTGCACAACAAGAAGGATACGTTGATTTTATTCTTTGCTTATTTGCAAGAGGAAAGCAATGTGCTGATTTATAGACAAGAGAGTAATCAAAATTACAGGAGGGTCCTTGTTTCAAGATCACAGGTTTGCTGGGATAAAGGAAAAAATTTTTCACTCAAATGCATTAAAAAAAAAAAAAGGTTTCTAAAGCAAAACAGCAGCATATCAAGGAATTTCAGGTACCATACCCTGACGCAGGGGGACTGTGAAACTGCAGAAAAATGAGCTGCCACATTTTGGTTCCTAATTTAATTAATTTTAAAAAATCTGCCAGAGACACTGGATTTTTTTTTTTTCTTTTTAAAGTAAGCAAAGACGGGGAAAAAGGTGATCAACAAAAACACCAGATGCCCTTGCTGCAAAGGACAGCAAGAGGCTCTGACGGATTCCTGGTCTTTGCAGAACTCCAGCTGCTCATATTAGTTTTGATGACCCAAGACAGGGCAAACTTGTCGGGGAAACACAGCTTCTGTGCCACACTGAACAGACCACAGAAGAACAACTGAGACTTTAAAGAAGCAATTGGGACAGCAGAAGAGAGCAGAACAAACGAGAGAGAGAGACAGAGAGAGAGAGAGAGTTCCAGATAAATCAGCAAACTACAAGCCCACTAACTCTAGTACTATCATCCCAGCTACATGTAACCAGGGAAAAACTGAACAAAGAACAGCTAAGCTAGAGTGACTCTAAGCTACTTTAAAACATCAATTAAAAAAGACATACTTGCATTTAAATACGGTAATAGGGCTGTTGGGGGGGAAAAAAAAGTCTATGTAAATATATGTACAGCTACCTCAGGCTATTGTCTGCGCCTGTTCCCAACATACAGAACATGTGCACAAACACAGCAAATCAAGTTGTTATTCAACGCTGACACGAGCCTATTTGCTCTTATTATGATGCTGAATTGTTACACACATAGAAGAGTGAGACACCCAGCAGGATTTATTTAGGGTGATAGGGTCAAAAGCCTAAGTCTCCTCCACTCCTGTAACCCAGACTGAGGCCTGGTCTACAGTTAAAATTTAGATTGACATAACTATGTAAAATTCACCCCCCGAAGTGACAACCTAAACCCTGCATAGATGCAGCTAAGTCAACCGAAGAATGCGTCTGTCAACCTAGCTACCGCTGCTCAGGCAGGTGGACTAACTCTAGATGGAAAACCCCTATACAGTGCCATAGTTTTGCTGCGGTAGTGCCGACAGTGTAAATGGGCCCCCAGGTACAAACAGAAGCCTCGGTATCCTGCCAGTCTGTACTTTCCTCTTAGCCAGAGCTCACGGTTACAAAATGGAATTCATTCTCCCAGGGGAAAACTGCTGGCAGGTCAGAGGCAAGGCTCTGGAACCATATTCCCTTCCCTTAGAAAGGAGCCCAAACCCAAACCCTGATCCAGACTTGGACCAATCAGTCAATCAGCAAAATTCCCCAGCGCCTGATGGAACACACAGGGCCAGCTTCAAACAGTTGGGGGAGAAAGTGTCCCCATTCTCCCAAAGAAATCCCCTTCTCCGTTCTCTGGCTAAGATGATGCACAGCCAACCAACCTGCCCAGAAAGCAGCATCCTTCACATTCCCACATCCCATTCAGGACAGGTCCATAGAGAATGTGAAAAGTCACAGGCAACCTGTCAATTGCAGGCTTTGTGGGCTCCCTAAGCCGCCCCTAAGGTTCAGATGAGACTTGGATTTTCCATATTATAATATGCCTCTGTCTCCTTCCAGTGTGCGCCCCGGACAGCCAAACCTCCTTTGAAGACAGCATAAGAAACAGAGCCGGAAAGCATATTTCTCTTGCTCAAGTGCCAGGGACTCCCAGTATTTACTTCAAATGAAGGGCAAAAAAAGCATTACCATGCAAAAGAAGAATGAAATAATGGAGGTGGAGAAGGAAACCAACAGAAAGACCCTGAACAAAAGATGCATTATTCTACTCCAGTGTGTGCTTTGGACAGGTGTGTGAAAAATTAGCTCAGAGAAAGGAATTCGTTATTCCAAATCTCAGAGAAAAGCCTCTGCGTGACACTGAGTTCCAAACAACTGAAATATAATCCGATCAACTCAAGTGCTGTTAGGGGAACAAAGGGGTATGCCATGTGATTCTTTATGTCCAAAGTGCTGTTCCTCGCTAAAATTTGGCTACAGAGAGAGACTACCTATAGCTCTGGAACTTATGATGATCAGTGGGGATCTAGACACGGATGGAGCCATGGGGAAAACTCCCAGGGGCCCAAAGCAGGGTACTATCAGTGGAAAGTACTGGGTTATGGAACTCCTTGTCAGTGGAGATCAGGAGCTGTCCTACATGCCTGTAGCATGAAGTGTAAGACCCACCTCTTTCCACAGGTGAAGGCAATGACTGTGAACTGGCCTCATAGCCTTTTCCTGGAGATAAACAGGAGGGTGTTTGGGGCTGGGGTGGAGGCTCCAAGGGATGACTGGGGCCTGGATGAGGGTGTGGGGGTGTGTCACCAGTGCCTATGAACAAAGAGAGCCTTGAGCCAGAATTGGGCCCCTTCACCTTCTGATCCTGTCCCTTCTTCTTCACTTGGATCCAGCAGGGGTAGCAGCAAGTGGGGAGGCCGAGGGGGTGTCCTGGCTGCCTGCTCAGCAGATGCCATGGCGGCAGCTGTAGGCTGTTCCAGCAGCCCAGCATCTCAGCTGGGACGGGGGAACACCTGGCATTGGCAGCCTTAGTAACCTGACACCTGCTGCCATTCTGGTGAGGGGAGAGGGGACAGCACTGAATGATGGAAGAGAACAGGGCAACTGCAGTCGAAGCTGGGGGAGGGAGGAACCCCGTGACCAAAATCTGTGAAGCAAAACACAGGCTGAGCGGAGCGGGGCGGAGGAGTCCACCTGGAGCCAGCTGGCATCTGAAAGGGCTTAAGCAATAAAAAGGCCAGCTCCGAGCCAACCGCATCCTACAACAGGCCCTGAACCAAAGCCCTTTGAAGTCAACGGGAGTCTTTCCATTGACTTCAATGGACTTTGGATGAGATCCATGGTGAAGGCGAAACAGCACCAGCCCTTCTTGCTCTGAGTAGCCACCGTTATCTCGAGCCATCACTATGCCAACTGAAAAATCAAAAAGGAGGGAGGGAAGAGCTCAATCTATTCATATTTGTCCCCTTCCTGCAGAAATGATCCCTGTCCTTCTTTGTGTATCCTTTGCTTATAATTGCCTAGAGAAAATAAGACGCCTAAGCTGTTCAAAAGGACTAAAGTGGATTTAGGCATTCCAATTAGCAGATATTTTACAATAAATGTTTTGAAAGGGGCTCAAATGCTGTCCAAGCAAGCCCTGAGGATTCAGATCAATTTCATGCTGCCTTATTACTCAGAAAGAGCTAACATGAATATTTGGAGTTCAATTTTTCATAGATAAATTTTTCTGCTTCCTGCATCACTAGTTTCACTTTAAATACTGAAACAGCCTCATGTGGGAGAACAAGGACACATCTGTTTTTAACTACGATGCCCTAAGGTCACAAATTTAGTGAATGGCTGTCTACATGCAAGTGTTTTCTCCAACACACAAATAAGTCTGGGGAGAAATCAAGTGGGTGACACACAATCAAAGCAGGGGATGCTGAATTTAAAGAGCCAGTGCAAAGCCGTGACATGAAGCACGGGATTAGCCTCACCCGACTTTCTTGAACAGCCACACACTTGATGAGGTTGGATATAGCTGAGATTCATAGGAACTTCAGGAGAAGAGATGGAAAGAGCAATGCTGTATATGCAAGTCCTGATATACCACATAAGCCCCACGTTAAGGGTTATGTGGGCTTTAGGTGATGCCCTCGCTCTCTGCAATGGGAGCATTTAATCCATCATGTGCGTTTGGCTCCATTGTGCACCCTGACTGCAACAAACTGATCTTCTCATAGTTAGAGGAAGGAAAGGCTTTGCCCCGTTTCCCCAGCGCTTCCCAACAAGAAGTGAATCAAGACTTTAGTTACAACCAAACCAAAAAAGGGGAGATATAATCAAGATCTGGCCATTGATCATATGGCAATTTGGGTAAGAATTCAGCACTTCCATCCACGATAAATGGGGAATAAAATATTCCCCTATAATTCCAATGCACTCCCATTCTGCTCACGCAGTGTCAAGCTGTTGGCGGCTGGCTGTGCTGACCAACCCTTAACATCCTAGACTGCAGATTACACCTACTTGTTCCTGCACAGAAAGCTTCCTTCCATCCTGGAGCGCAAATGAAATTCATTGCAGGGGAAGTGCCACGCCCAGCTTTCATTAGCAAAGAGCGATGCAGCAGGCACGCAGATTGTAAGAGAGAGATCTTTATTGAGCATGCATATAAAGTCAGTGCTACGCATTGAAAGGCCCTGTTTGTGTCTGGGAGCAGCCTGATCCCTTCCCAGTTTGCATCCCTGAGCCCCCTAATTAGGTTGTTCCACCTGAAACCTGACCCTCACATCATAATACAGCCTGCTTGTGTCAAATAGCCGGG